CTGGTAAAGTTTTCAGTCCAATGATCCAGTAAGCAAATGCATTCAAACAATCCGTCCAAAACAGCGCTAAAATAAAGGAAACCAGGCTGATTACATCAGAGATTGCAGAGAGAACAGAGACTCGCGTTGCGTTTTCAGTGAATTATTAATTCCAGTGTGTTTCGCTTTTAAAAACGAGCTCTGTCATATTCTGTGATTGTCTCTGAAGATCGCAAGCCCTCACACGTCACACGCGCTGTGTGAAGTACAGACTGAACGGATTGTCAACACATCCCACTGCTGTATGGCCAGATGAGACGCAAACTATGGTTCCTCGCTAGTAAAGTTTTGATGGATGAAAACTGCAATCAAGGTAAAGACGATTGCGGTGGCGAACAGGAGTCGTATAATAATGCGTGTATGAGTGCTCTTGACGCAACATTGTATTTATGCACAGGCACAGACATTTCCGTACATTCACGTTGTTTCCACACATATTCACGATATGTTGATTGTTTTGATTTGACATGTTTATGTTGCTGTGTTTAGTTATTCTGAATGGATCCGTGTACTGTAGTAGATATATGCAGTCAGCAGGTGGCTGGTTTAGGTTTTTTTTTTGGCATCACCATGTGGTCCTGTTCGGTATCGCAATTCGACTTCTCTAAAATGTAAAAAAGCTATTTGCTGTTGCACTGTACACATACTATGCAAATCAAAATTGTTTTTTTGTTGCTTTTTTTTTCTTCTTTCTTATGTGCTTATATGGGCTTCTTTATATCATTTGGTTATTTGTTGTCCTTTTGGTGTCCTTTTGGAGTCCTTTTTTGGAAAGACATCTACACTTATCTTATAGAAAGTATTAAGTATTATTATTTATTACTGTATTAAGAAAATACAGATTTTTGAGAATCACCCTTCAATCTTTTGGTTTACTTTGCTGAATATAGCAAATGATGACAAAATAACCATTTGAAACAAGATAAATGGTCTATGCTTAATTTCATGAAGTGTGCGATTGATCGCGATTAATCACAGAAAAAGGGTGTGATTAATCAGATTAAAAATTGTAATCTATTGACAGCCCTAATATATATATATATATATATATATACATACATACATTGTATACATACATTGTAAGTTAAGCCTATTAATTGTAATGATTTCATTTCCACAGTTATTCAAACAATAAATAGATTATATAGAGAAAGTGAGCAAAGAACACAGCATCAACGGAGCTTTTTGAAACTCCGAATCAGTTAAACCATTGCGTCGCAAAATGATTCACTGTTTCGAAACACTCCAATTGGATTGCGTATGACAAATCATTTGATTCAGATCGGGACTTCAAAGGGCATATCGCGAATCATTTGATTTATATCGGGAGCGGGTTCGCGGAATGTTTTTTATCCCCACCGGGGATAAAAATAATTCAGCAGAGGCAGGGATGCATAGACCAGAGGGGGGGAAATCCCCCCCGTCCACCCGGCAAATCGCATCCTGTATATATATATATATATATATACATACATACACACACACACACACACATACATGCATACATACACAAATATATTCAAGAGATTGGATACAAATATCTATACATCCCTATCTACAGCTGTATATATTTTAAATGTGTGTACTTAAATTCATATATATTTTTTTGGAGTACGCTAGCATAAAGATAAGATCAAAGCAAACAGACGAGGACTAAAATACACCTCATTTTGCATTTATGGGAACTAGCCAATTGCATCACACAGATCCTACATAATCTGTAGAACCATTCAAAAAATGACAAAGAAAACACAAATATTTGCAGTCTAGGATCATGTTGCTCTCAAAAAAGCACAGCTTTGTTTACTGTGCACTAATACCTCTCAATCAAGACCAAACCCCTGAAAGCTCGAGGCTAAGACCTCGACTACTGTGAGATATTGGAGTGTCATTCAATCACAGCTCAGTGCAGACTTCAGTTATGCATAACAATATACTGAGAAGCAGACAGTCCGTCCTTGCAAACTCTTTTATTAGAATAAGACTGGGAAGTAGTTTATTGATGTTAATGAGCTTATTAAATAGAGGAATGGGGGAAGCAAATGACAGAGAATTTTTAATATGGCCTGCTTTAACCGGCTAAAGCATCATTCAGATGCATAGAGTGATGGAAAATTACTTGACAAATTATTAATGTAGCTATTTGCATCTTAATTGCCTTGAAAATTCATTATACACAAACAAATTTAAATCCACACCAAACATCTACGCTTTCAACATGGCAAAATACAAGTAATTTTGCATGATGTGTTAGCACCCCAGTATTTTTAGTGCCAGAAGGAAAAAGTTGAAAGTATTAGCGGCGACAATGTATTATGAAGAAAACAATTATGCCAGAATCGTAGCCTCAGGAGGATCTTTTTAAAGGACACAAAAAGTAACTAGCAGAGAGATGCTGAGACTGCTCAATGAATCTGAACAGGTTCACGACCAGCACACAAAACATCATTTGGATCTGACTGAACGGTGAGCTTTGATATTTGTTTAGGTATCAAAACCTTGTTGCCTATAGACAGCTACTTATAAGGCAGCAAACAGTTACGGTTCCCATTGACTTCCATTGTACAAAGTACAGTGGAGGTCAATGGGAACCTAAACTGTTTGGTTACCAGCATTCTTCAAAATAACTTCTTTTACGTTCCACATAAGAAAGTCATACAAGTTTTGAAAGTCATGAGTAAATGAGAAGAATTTTCATTTTTGGGCGAACTATTCATTTAAGTTACTTATTTGTAGAGATCAATTTATTTTTTTTCTTTTCTTTTCTTTTTTTTTACCAATATTTACACTTCAAGCCAACAATTCAAGCCAAGAGCCAACGAAAAGCATAACATTTTAAGCTTGACAGTTAGACATAGACTGCATAAATAAATAAATACATACATACATTCATAAAATAAAAAAAATAAATCATATTCCCAAAAACATTACAAATTTAGTTCTAAAACAAACTATTGTGCACAAAGTCAAGATATTTGAATATTACAGGTCATGATATTCATATTGGGCAAGGCAAATGTATGGTGGAAAAATATGTTTATGACTTAGACGCCAACATACAAACACTAAAAGAGAAAAACAGAGTTTGCGATAGAGAAGTATACACTAGAGATTCTAAGGTCTCTCAATTTACTGCCCCTCCTTCTGCCTTTCTCCTTCCCTCTATGTATCAGTTTTTTATTAATTAATTATTCATGTGTTTTTGTCTCAGCAGCATGGAGCGAATCCCAAAGTGGTGGCCCAGTGGGTGTATTATGTTGTTAAAACGACGCGTCTGCCACATCCAAACCTGAGAAATATCGAAGAACTCCTGCTCTAGAAACGAAAGGTCAACTGCACATTTTAGGTGACCTCATATGGGAGACAAGTTATATATGTAGATTATGGATAATCATTTAGGTTTTGTAGTAGATTTTACTGCGAGGTCCTATGGGATACCTTTAGTCTTACAAACACCTTAGGATGATGGGGAAAATAAAAACATGACTGAAAACCCATATGGCAAAACAACATGAATACTGAACAAGATTTTGATATGCCCTTCCTTAAAGGTGAAGTGTGTATTTTCTGTACAAAATAGTAAAATAATTACATTTTTAAATTTTCTGAAGTATGTTTATTCAGTAATAATGTTTTACAGTAATAAAAGACACATCTTTAATTGTGGAAATGTGATGAAAAAAAAAACCCTCTGAAGTTTATGCTTTAAATCTGCATATTTATATTTATATTCATATGCAAATGCATGAAAGAATATGGAAGCATAATTTTCCTTTACTTTGCATAATTTGTCTGATAATAGTTAGCTAGATGTGATTCATACAGGGCAAAAATATATTGTAAAACAAAAATCTCTACCACGTCTAAATATTTTTCTAATATATTGCACATCTGCACATTCTAATCATATCTTCTAACACAATGTTCTCTCTGCATTCCTCATAGGTGCAAAAAATAGGTTTGATATGATAAAGCAACATTATTACTGTTTAAAATAAACGCAAAGAAGAAAAAAAAAGTGACACTTTGAAACTTGACGGTTCTTCTGCTCGGAAGAACTTGAGGAGA